CTTTGTCTTCAGCGGTTGTGTCGGGAAGGTGAGCATCATAGAATGCCAATTTACTAGAAGAAAGTATTCTTGTGTTGAGGGAGTAGTATGATGCCTTTTAAAGGCATTTCAATTTGACTGTAGCTTTGGCTGCAATGGTAGAAGTGGGGGTTCTGAAGAAGCCGATTCCAAATGTTGTGTTTTATTAGGAGAGATAAAATATTTATAGCCTTGGCTTTGTAGGGCTCCCCTCTCCATTTCTCTGTCCGTTGTCTGTTGTGTACTTACTACTATACGTCTGTTACTATGCATAGGGTCTGCAGGACACAGTCCAGCTGCCTCTTGGCAGTTCCCAGACTGTAATTCTTCCTGGCAGCAGACAGCCTCATCTTTCTCCTGCAGGAAAGTTGGTAGGTTTGCACTGCTTTGCTTTGCAAGCCAAAACTCGGGCTGGGATATGCGATGGTGGGTATTTAAAAATAACTTAAATCTATTGTCTTATTTATAGAAAATAAAAACAAACTGAAAATATAATCCTACTGCCAGCATGTTGCATGCTCTCATTCTTCACATTCCATATACAATCTTGACAAAGTTTAAGTGTGTGCTTTGGCATATCTTTATAATAACACTTGGCTAAAATAATTTATTTAGTTTTTATTGTTGTTAAGAAGACACAGCATCTGGTTTGCAGAAAGTTAAGGATGACAGTGGGAGTCCAGGATTCATTTGAGGGAACTACATAGGAAAGAAGCCTCCGATGAACTCCTGCTATCCAAATTGAGGGAGAGGAGGAATGTGAGTACTAAACTGAGGGCACTGGAGAGATGACCATAGAAGATCAAAGGCATGAATCTGACTTGAAAAGTTGCAACGTTGTCAGTTGATTCCCCCTCTGATGTGTGCTGGACCTGATCATGTTTTCAACATTTTCTGTCATTTTGGATTGTTTTGCTTTGTTTTTGTTTGATAGGGCGTATCTCTGTTATGCCATTGGAAGTCACCCTCGTGATGTTGTTATATGTTTTTCAGTGTTTCGGTATATGACACCCAGTATTGATGAATCTACAGGGACAGCAAGTAGAATAAGGGTTTTGGGGGGTAGGTACAGTGGGGGGGGCAGGGTAAAAGGGAGCTGATGTCAACGAGTCCAGGAAGAAAAAAAATGTTGGGAAACTGATTGTGGTAGCGATTGTACAATTCTGCTTGTTGAGATTGAACTATGGAATGATATGATGTATGTATTAGCTCCCAATGAATATTATATATTTTAAAAAATTAAAAAAGAATACACACAGCAGAGACATACCAATTCAAATTTCCACCTGTATAATTCATAATATTTTTAATTGTATACTATTGCATGGAGATAGCAACATTCACTTAACCATTCTACTAATAAAAGACATTTAGATTGTTTTCATTTTATGGAAAAAGAATGTTCAAATGATTACACATACAGTGGTTTCTTTTTCCCTGAAATATGTCTGTAGGGAAAATTTCCAGGGATGAGATAATTGTGTAAAAAAGAAGGACGAGTTTGTGCCTAACTGTGCTGCCCAATCCCTTCATTAAGTGATGCTCAATTGTCAGTGCTGCTGGCAATAGATGAGAATACTCATTCCAACATGTACTGAGGATGTAAAACATACCATCCTATTAATACCTTCAAAATAACAAGTGCTTTGACACCCAGAGCACTAAGGTATGTTGGGATGGGTGTAAACATTTTTTTCGCGTTATTTCATTTAACTCTCACAAAACCTGTGTGAGGGAAATCCTTGTGGCGAGCATGGAAACTGAAGCAGAGGTTAAGTAAATTGCTCACGGATCCATAGCTAGGAAGTGTAGGCATGTATTTGAACTGGCCAAATCTGAATCCAGGACCTGCCTGTTTACCCATTATGCTATGCCGCCTTGTAATATTTTTTTCAGCTTATAGTTATTTAATTAAATAGTTGTTTAACTATTCTATAACAGCTTATAGTAATGTTACTAGTGTATTAAATTATACAGTAGAAGAGAATCATATTCATGAATATCAACATTAATATTTTTATTGTGGTAAATATCTATGAAATAAAGTGGCATTTACCATTTCAACAATCTTTGCATGCACAGTTCAATTATATTATGTTGATCATGTTGTTCAACTCATATCTGTTATCAAACTTTCCCTCGTGTTAGTTTTTGCTTAATAGTTTTGTATTATTAACAGAGGCATATATGCAAGTAAGGAGTTCACTATGTTCTTTTTGGTAAGTTTCCTGCTTGAAAATTGTGCTTTTGAGTAAGGATAATACTGAGATAATTCTTTTTTTTTTTTTGGTAGCGAGGTAATTATTAAGGTTTTGGCCATTTATTTTCATCGTATGGTTTAACCATCACTATTATCCATTTTTAGGTTTTGGGTTTTTTTTAATCACTTGTCAGTATGTAATGTTCAGGAACTATATATTACATTGGCAAGTGTTAAATAAATGCAGCTGTTTTGATCATCTGAGATCCTCTAAGCATTGTTGTCATTGTTTTTAGACACTCACGGTCCTATAATCAATTCTGTTCTGCCAGGCACCATAGAAACTTACCTTATCGACTTTCTTGAAAAACTGAAATGTGGGTAGCACTTTGATGTGAGATGATTCGACCAACTCCTGGGAAAGAAAAGAATTGGCATGAAGTCAGAGTTTTGCGTGTCCTCCTTTCTGGTCCAAGTGTACTGCTTGGTGACTTGGCAGGCAGCATGTTTGAAAGCCTAGGAAGACCTGATTCATTATGGATTCTCCTGCCCAGAGTTTTTCTAACATACCCTCTACATACACTACAATGGAAGATGATTGTTCCCAAGATTGCTGGATTCTTCTGTTCCAGGGCTCAAGGAAAGGATCAGTGACTGAGGCTGGGACAGAAAGGACACTGAGAGGCTGAGTGGGCTTTATCTGAGATAAAGATGTTGAGATTCCCTGGTGGGACTCAGGATGGAGAACGCATGTTATAGGAAAGAGGACTAAAGAGGACCTAGGAAAGAGGACTAAAAAATTACCCTGACACCAAGCAGATTCCAGCTTATTGTGGAAGGAGATTGGGTTTCTGAGGCTGTGAATCTTGCTGGGAGCAGATTGCAAGGCTGGTCATTTTGAACCAACGACCTTGCAGTTAACAGACCGAGGCATAACCCACGGTGCATGAGAGCTCTTGGAAAGAGTAAAGGTATCTTTATTAGAAACCATACCGGACGCACGGAGTAATGCGTTACTGTCGTTGGTAGGTGCCATTGCACCCGTTCTGACCCATGGCGATCCTGTACGCCGCAGAATGAGACATTGCTAGGGCCTGCACCATCCTCACAATTGTTCCTGTGCTTGAGTCCATTGTCACAACCACAATGTCAACCCCTCTCTCGGAGGGCCTTCTTCTCTTTCGTTGCCCCTCTACTTCACCAAGCACCATGTCTTTCTCCAGGGACTGGTCTCTCCTGACAACATGTCCAAAGTATGTAAGATGAAGCCTCACCATCCTTGCCTCTAAGCAGCATTCTGGCTGGACTTCCTCCAGGACAAATGTGTTTGTCCTTTTAGTAGTCCGCGGGACTTTTAACATTCTCCTCCAGCACCACGATGCCAATGCGTCAATTCTTTCCCAGCCTCCTTTGTTCAGTGTCCAACTTTTGCATGCATAGGAGGCAATGGGCAATATGATTGCTTGGGTCATTTGCTTCTCAGCATTTTAAAGAGATCTTCAAATCTTCAGATTTACCCAATACAATCCATCTTTTAATCTATTGACCGTTGCTTCCATGAGCATTGATTGTGGATACAAGCAAGATGGAATTCTTGACAACTTCAACCTTTTCTCCATTTATCATGATGTTACCTATTGGTCTAGTTGTGAGAATGTTGGTCTCTTGTACGCTAAGCGGTAATCCATACTGAAGGCTGCAGTCCTTGATCTTCAGCAAGTGTTTCAAGTCCTCTTGTTTCAGGAAGCGAGGTTGTGTCATCTGCGTAGCACAGGTGGTTAATAAGCCTGCCTCCAATTCGGATGCCACGTTCTGCACATAATCCAGCTCCTCCGATGATTTGCACAGCACACAGATTGAATCAGTATGGTGAGAGGATACAGCCCTGATGCACACCTTTCCTGATTCAAAACCCTGCAACATTCCCTCGTTCTGTTCTCCTAACTGCCTTTTGATCCATGTACAAGTTCCGCATGAGCACAATGCAGCGTTCTGGAATTCCAAGTTTTCTCCAGGCTATCTATAGCTTGTTAGGACCCGGGGTGATATACTCACCTAGTATTTTCAATGAAGCTCACACAGTTCTGTCTTTTGAACCCTGTTTCTTTTGTCCATCTTTGTGAAAGATTTGTACCAATAGATAAGAAACTCATTCCAAATCTGAATTGTTTTAATCCATTCCAATATGCTTCCAAGGGTCAGTTTCTGTTTATCTTATTTAGGAGTCAAAAGAACAACAGAATCGAACTTCTTTCTGTACTATACCTAACATTGTATTTCTTTCTTCCCACCATCTCAGTGCATGTCCACATACACAGACATGCACTGAAAATTTTCATTATCACAGTAAAGACAACAAACAATAAACATCAAGAAAGAAAATTAGGCATTTTGTTTCACCACAAAGGGCAAAGAGCTATGGTAAAAATGACAGAGAGTAGCAAATAGCGGCCAGTGGTGGCGAAGCTGGAGCCCTCATATGCTACTGGTGGGATTGTGAGAAGGGAAGCCACTGAAAAAATCATCTGTGACTTTCCGAAAAGGTTAAACATGACTACCTTTATGACCTAGCAATTTCACTCCTAGCTATATACCCAGGAGAAACAAAATCACACATACCCATCCGAAAGACGTGTATGTTTATAATAGCACTATTCGTAATAACCCCAAAGGTAGAGCAGCCCAAAGGGCCATCAACTGACCAAGGATGGAGCAAAATGTGGAATATCCTCACCATGGAATAATATTCAGCAAGAAAAAGAAATGATTCTAACACAGATGAAACTTGAAAATATTATAATAAGTGAAGTAAGCCAGTCACAAAAGACCACATAGTGCATGATTTCATTTAGATAAAATATTCAGAATCAGCACATTTATAGAGACACAAAGTGGTTATTCGGGATTGGGGCTGGTGGTGGAGGAGGAGGTGAGGAGGGACTTGGGGGCAAATGAGGTCATGAATATGGTTTAACTTGATTGTAGTGATGATGAATGAACAACCTAAAGACCAGCAGGTTGTCTACATGACATGAGGGAAGTGTATGGTATGGGAATGATCTCCCTCTCTCTTTTGAATGCGTAATAAATAGTTTCATATCAAGGAATAATTGTATATCAGGAAAGCATCCCAGTTCCGTCCAACTCAAGTCCATATGTTTGATGCTGGTCCTTCAGCCCCTCTCCACACTCACGAAGCCACTGCAGTGACGCAGAATGCATCACCAGCCAGTGGGTGCAAAGTCTCTTGGATCCAACGGAGGTGGGCACATCTCCAGGGCTCTCGCAGGTCTCAGCATGGCTTATAACAGGAAGGTGAAGGCAGATGGGTGTGTGTGGGGGGTGGGGGGGGGGAGGTTCCCAGGACCCTTCTTATGAGAAGGTCACCACCTAGCTTCAACTTGATTGACAGGCTAGACTTCATCCCTACTCTTTTATATTTTCAAGGGACAGTGTTGGGCCTTGGAGAAATCCAGTCCCATGAATATTCATTTATGTGCTCGGCACTGTGCTCCGTGGTCTGGGGACAGTCATTGATTTGGAATCTACTAATACAGGCTTTCTTGAGGGGCAATTCTCCCCTATGAGTCAGCACCAACTCAGTGGTGGGTTTTTTTTGGTTGTTTTTGTTTTGTTTCATATAGGCATTAAGGAGCCCTGGTTGCGTTTTGGGCTGCAAACTTCAAGGTTAGCAGTTTGCAACCAGTTATGTCAATCCCGGGAGAAAGACAAGACTTGCTTTCTGAAGAGTTACAGTCTTAGAAACCACAGGTTTTCCGACCCTGCCTACAGGGTCCTCATGAGTCGGGATTGAGTCAATGGCAGCAAGTTTGGTTTGAGTTTGGTGGCATAGTGGGTTAAGTGTGTGATTGCGAAGAAATTATATATATATTTAAATCATTTTATTAGGGGCTCATACAACTCTTATCACAATCCATACACACATCAATTGTGTAAAGCGCATCTGTACATTCATTGCCCTCATCATCCTCAAAACACTTAAGAAATTATATTTTAATGGAGCAATTACAAATGAAAAGAAGATAATGATCCTTAGACATGAATTCTGAATGCAGAGTATATAATTTAGTTTAAGGGACCGCCGGACACTCTCACACTTGAAGAAAGCCCAAAGGACACTGAGAAAGGGAACTTCTAGTAGGTTCCTAGCACTGCCATGCATTTTACGTATCTTACTGCATTTTATCTTCTCATGTAATATCATAATCCAGCTTACTGAGATTAAATGATAACAGGTCACACAACTATTAACAAGCAGAGCTGGTTGAAGAACAGGTTTTTTTTTTCATTCTAAACTTCAAATTCAGTTTAATATATGAATGCCAAAAACCAAACCCATTGAAGTGCAGCTAATTTTGATTCATAGCAATCCTATTGAACTGCTCCAAAGACTTCAAGGTTGCAAATCTTTGTCGGCACAGATACCGCATCTCTCGCCAGTGAAGTGGCTGATGGGTTCACACTGACAATCTGTTGGTTAACAGTTGACAGCTTAATCATTGTGCTACCATGGTTCCCAATATTTGCCTATGAACACACCACTGTTATTGTTGTAGGAGTTTTTTTTTTTCATTATAAATGAACAAATATTAACCAGGATAATTTTGTGGAGACATTGTATATTGTAAGACACATTTGGATGCGTGGAATGAGCCTGATTATTCTTTGTGTGTGTTGGCAGTGAGTGGTGACTTCTGGGACAGGAGGGAGGGATTTCCTGGAATTCCTTGTGATTTTCTTTTTCAATCCCACAAAAACATGATACAAAACAAGAGGAAAGTGAGGTGTAGTAAAGTGTTTGTAATCCGTTGAGTTAGGCTTTAGCAATTGTGATAGGTGGGCTTGTTGTGCCACCATGGCTGATGAACACATGTGAGATTGGTTGTAGGGCGGAGAGATAAATAGCTCAGCAAGCCTCGCCTCTCTCTCTTGCTCTTGCCTTGCATGTAGTGTGCCTCCATTTGCAAGCTATACTATCTGTGGGACACCTACCCATGGACTGTGTCGCTGTAATGAGGTTCCTTCAAGACCTGCTTCGCCATGCTACTGGAAGGTACATCTCTTGAGCTGAGGACTGTCGGACCCTGTCATCTGGCTGACTGTTGGTGACCTGCTTGCTGTTTGCTGCCTGTGGCTGATAGCCTGAATTCCTCCATGGAGGACAACCCCGCGGCCCTCAAGACTTGAAGGACTGCCGGTGTACTAGCTGCCTCATGGAAGTGAGTTGACTGAGCCATTTGTACTGCTTTATAGATTAATTGTTTATTTCTTATGTTGTCTATCTATATAACTATATATACAAAATTATTAGTGTCCTGGTTTTGTTTCTCTAGAGAACCCTGTCTAACACACTGGTACCAGGAGTGCTTCTAGAGAAATAAAATCATAAAAATG